TAACCATCGAATAAAGTACAAAAAAAAAAAAAAATCTTAAAAGGAGGACACACGAGCGTCTGCTAGCCAGACATGGTATTTCAAAACTGGACCGTTCAATAAGAAAGCATAAAATATTTCAATGCTCACTTTTTGAAGCACCTTGCCGTTCAGACGAATCATTGTTATAGAATTTGGTTGTCCTAGAGACATCTGTGCTTATTTTCTCCAGGGATTCATTTGTTTGCACTTCTCCAGGCTGTTGAGAAGGTGTGTCCATAGTGTTTGCAGAGGTTGTGGTTTTTTGTGCTTGTGAGTAGTCCGCGACCTCTTCCACAGCTTCTCTGATACTGGCAAGATCCTCTATTGGAGACCCGGTAGGAGACTCAATCACAGGGCTCAAAGCATCTATCTGATGTTCCTGTGATACGTCCTCATCAAATGAGAAGACATGGTTGCCCTGTAGAAATCTCTGCTCACAGTCCCCAGTGATTATTGTCATTACCGAACCTCTCCGTTTCTTTGGAGCGTCAGTTTCATCTCCGTCCCACGTGTGATGCTTGATACTGTTGGGCAATCCTTCATCGATTTTTTCTTCAGAGTTGCACAGTGAAGGTGGGATGACATGAATAAGAAGCTCCCTTTGATGGCTCTCCATGGTGTCACCTGGAGAAATTGACCCATCCAGCTCCACCATCTCCTCGTCAAAGCCACTTTCATTGACTTCGTTCAGCTCAGGTTGTCCCGCTGAGGTGCTGTCTTGATCCGTGCCATCATCGATCATCATTCCTGCAGCGACATCTGAACCCAGTTGCTCCATCTCGTCTAGCTGCGATGGCCCCTGATATTGTTCACCTCTAAAGAAGATTTCTTCTGGACTCTCATCAGACCTGGATGGATAGAATGGGTTTTTCATTGAGCTGTAAGCCTTGAATTTGGGAATACACGAGTCGGGACCGGTTGTAGAGCTTGAGCTTGGTCTATAGCTGCTGCTACTGGAAGATTTGCGGCTCCCAAGTGGACGAAGTCTTTCGTCTTCTACATAAAATCTTCCCATCCTGTCTGCTTGACAGGGAAGCGACTGCGTGAAAAACAGTGTGCCCGAGGAAAACGACTCTCTGTATGAGGGAATGCTCTCTCTGGCTTGACTCATTTGATATGTCAATCCCGGGTACGTCTTTCGTCTTTTGGGAGGAATGTCCATGTAGCCTGCAGGATGAGTTTTGCTTTCTAGGATGGCGATGCTGTTGTTGCGCAAGCGCGTCTTCCTTTCGTGATTGTCGATGAAGTTTTTAGTGAAAGAAGATCTGTTTATTGAAGCTCTGGGATTCATGAATAAGTGTTCCTGAGGACTCAAGTCGAATAGCCGTTCACAGCACCTGGACACATTTGTCCTGTTGTCCCCATCCAGTGTATTCTGGCGTGTAAACTCTTTGCACAAGGTAACCTCAGATGCTGTCTGCGTGCAGTTAGTGTTGTGGTGGTCAGCGAATCTTTCTCTGGGACTGATCTGACAAGATGCAACATTTTCTGCAAGGAAATCCAGTGCACTAGCCTTCTTATCAGCAAATTCATCAAGGGGAGGGATATCCCATAATGCCTCATTACTGAGACTGCTGGGCAGTGAGCGCTGTTTCTGATGTTGCCAGAAATCAGAGGGT